GGTGCAAATGTAGAAAATAGAAATGGTGTTAACGAGAAGTTATATATAGGTGTTACTGAAAATGAATGGAAGAATAGATATTATAACCATAAGTTAAGTTTAAACACGCTGGAGCGACTATATCGGTGAACTCTTCCCTGATGAAAGAGAACAACCAGCAATACACTGAATTACCGACGGACCTAAAATTCTAAAAACCGAAGAAGCTGCACTTGCCAACAAATATATTTTCATAGCACTACCTAAGAAACCAGGCGCAAACGAATGCAAGCACCACGGAATAATCAGCCTAATGAGACACGTTAGACAACAATTGTCCAACATTTGGATATTTTTCTTAAGCTGTTCCTTGATCTATGCTTTAGGCTCACATGAGCCATCTTCAGAGTGGTTATACAGACATTTTACCAAGGATATTCACCATCGAAGATAATATTTTCTTATGTTGATATAGAAGATTGCTATGTAACGATAACGGTTGCGGAATAGCAAATGCAGTTTGTAAGTTTCAGATGCGGTTCTATGACGTCATACCACGTGAGAGGCCGAAATATTAACACCAGAACCATATGTCTAGATGCAATATAATGTATTGTGCCTAGTTTGAAATCTAATTTTGTTGAGTTTTAATGCAGATAGCCTCCAATATCTGAAAGGTTTTTACTGTGTGTATGTATATTATTGCGTTTTCAATTATCTGTCTAAAATTATGTGCAAGGCTATGTTTTTCTAACAAATGTTGTTTAATAGAAATAAGATCAGAAAGATGACAGGTAAGTCTACGGGAGATCGTGGTTGCAGTAAGACCAATATATGTAGTGGGTTTATTATTAGTATCAGAGATACAATCTCTGAAAAGGCATATAAATTCATACACTACATTGGTTTCTGTAGAGGATTAGAGTAGTGTGGTTTTAGGGTTTTTAGAGACTATGAGGTCAACTGTACAAATTGCAGAAATCTTATATCAAGGACCAACTTAATAAATATCTATCCAAATGTTGGACAATTTTTGTCTTTATTTTCACCCGAAATTAAAGCAAACATACGAACAGTAGAACAGCTCATGATCGGACATAATAGACATTCATTGGCTGTTATATTTAACATTTAGCAATATGATAGAAATTAGGAGGATTTGAGAATTATAATTAAGTAATTAATCGAGTCTAGAAGAAACCTCAACAGAATGCAGAAAGCACTAGACGGCCGTTTCGTCCTATATTTGGGACTCATCAGCAGTGAGCATCCACTAACGAGAATTGAAACTCGGACAGTTACGTTATCAGGCAAATGCTATACCAACTGTTCCAACGGGTCTTGGTGACGAAGAGATAGCGAATCAGACTCGATATAGCGCTACTTGATCACATATTCCGTGGTGGAACTCATCCGAGTTTCTCTTTTACCCATCACTTGTATATCCTTGCTTGAAACTGCTTCTAATGCTCTGGATGGAGCGGCTTGGGGATAGTAGTCGTGGCTCGTGGGGGCACAATCCTGTGAGTAAAACATATCTAAAAAGCCATCGACAGATAGATCTCTGATGGTAGTTATCATTGCGTAGTCCTCAGGTGTACATAGGACAACCATTTTTTGATCTGCCTAAGAATATATTCAGATCATTTGTAAACATCTATGCAGATTATACGACTATATACTTGATGGTCAGAGGTTGGGGATTATTTTCGCACGATGGAGACAAACTGGATTGTTACGTACAATGCTTCGACAACTAAGCTAGTTACATTCCATTATCGCCAATCTGAACCCGAACTACCACCAGTCCGGTGCATGGAGGTCCTTTCGAGGAAGCACCGTGCCTTGAAAAACTGCTGAGGCTCAAATTCACATCCGATCTCATATGAAAACTCTCACATACGATATATTGCTAAGGATATAAATAAAATGGTCGGCTCTCTGTATACCTCTGACTCCTCTTGCTATCCTCCATATTTACAAGAGCCAGATCAGGCCTAAAATGGAGTACAGCTCTCATATTTGGGCGGGAGCTGCCCAGACTTCTCTCTCCAGCCTTGACAGAGTTCAATAGCGTCTCCGAGACCTTGTGGGTGACTAATTATCCTCCACCCTTCAATCTCTCTCCCATAGACGGGATGTTTCAAGCCTCTCTCAGTTCTACTGCTACTTACACGGAAGGTGCACGGACGAACTACATTCCCTGGTCCCGCTGTAGCAAACCTTCTCTATAAGAACATGCGTTGCTACTTACATAGTAGCAAACCACCCCCATTCCCTCCATATTCCATCGGTGAGAAGTTCCACTCGAGCGGCTTCTTCCTGTGTAAAGGATGAACCTCGTTGTAAAAAAAAAAAAAAAAAAACTAAAAAACGTCATTTTCTAAACTTATGTTTTGCAGATAAAGTTTCCGCAGATTAACATTAGATCTGTTATCACGTAGACACAGCTAATGTTTGATAAAAAATGCAGTTCTTCGATATTTCAAACTTAAAGCAAATAATATTTGTTTCAAATCAGATTAATTATTCTTTAAATCATCTAATATTCCTCATATAAAGTTTCGAAAAAGGATATTTTATTTTTAGAAGATTATTTAATAAGGAGAATTACATTGCAAAGAAAGATGACTAAAAAAAGGTGTTATTTTAGCAAAAAACTCGTTCCAGTCAATTTAAATTCATTTTCGAAATGCAGCAAGTATTTTGCTTATAGGAAATATTAACTTTAATCTATTAGCTTAAAATTATAACTAAATTAAAGCTTCAAAAAAGATTTTTTTTTTCATTTTTAAAACTTCATTTTAAACCCTAGGTATCGCGTTTTTGTGGAGTTCCCTATATCTATCTGATGGCAAAGCCATATATCTACCACAGATCAATTTTTGTATGTAGTCGTTGTTATTATTATTATTATTATTATTATTATTATTCATGGATTTTACTTAATGTATTTTGTTCGTTCATGGAACCGAGCACATCCCATGGATTTGGGGCTACGTGGCGATATATTATTTTGATGTATAAGATCATTTAATAATTCTGCCTATTCATTCGCTGGTTAGGTAATTAGCACGTGCGTTATGACATGCCATTACCTCGGATAATTAATGAGCCATTCCTGTTTGATTGAGAGAATTGACGGAAGAATATATCAAAGAAAGCTCTGTTTTATTATAGGGAAAGGAAATGAAAGGAAAAGAGACGAGTAGAGAAGATAGGAGTTGATAAAACTCTCCTGTCTTTCCCATTTGCTTCAATGTTTAATCTTTTTTTTTATTTGTACTCTCCTACGTCTTTAAAAATGACATTTTTGATTTTGATTTCAACATTTTTTAATCGAATTCACCCCAAGTAAGGCGGTAAAGCCACTGAGATACAAGTGTGTGGAAGAGTTAGAAACAGAAACATTGGTAAGGAGCGAAAATAAAATAAAAATAATCAGGAGGACAGTAGATAGTGATTGACATTGCATTTAAATTTTTACTGATTAAAGTTAGCTGGAAAGCATGGAGCCGGAAGTAAGTTCCACAAGCGAGAAGTGCGAGAAAAGAAACTGTTATCATAGAACTTAAGGCTATATCTTGCTAGCGCATTTGTCACTTTGTGAGATTTCGACATCAGTCGAGTCCTGCACTTAAATTCAAAAAATCTAGGCACCACAGCCAAGAGCGATATTTATTCTGTTTCATACAGAAATATGGCACAAGGCCGAAAAGGGGATTAGGGAAAGGACGGTCTTCTTCTGTCTTAACTATAACTTAGCTAGCCGCAAGCACTGACCCAATCGTACGAACAATATTCCTTACACCAAAACAAGACATTCATACGTACCTTTCTTACTACAACCACCATAATACCTCTTTGTCTCTCTGAAAATACTAACTAGTCCCCATATTTACAATTCATTGTCTGTGGGGGGGGGGGATAAAAAACAACAATTCTAAAAAAACTAACCCCAATGAGTATTTCCAATATGAATACAAAAACTATTTACAAGAAACTAAAGAAAATAAGATTAGTAATAAGCCCCCCCCCACACACACACACAATCACTAAATGTGGCAGAAACATCGGTTCACAGGGCGAAATCAATGCGGGACTATAATAGTATAAAACATTCATTCAACCCAAGGACTCACACTGACATGCACTCATTCAGACACAACAACAATTACGAAAAACCCACTCACGCGAAACGAAAGGCGCCCCGCATCTACCAGCGAACTGACATCACTGACCACCTAACGAGGGAGCGGATAGGGAATTAAACTTAAACAAAAATAGGGACAGAAATAAAAGGGGCCAATGAGCATGACATACCCTGGCTAAGTTAACTGAAAAAGAAAACTAAAGCATCAAAAAAGGAAACCTAAGCTAGCCTAGTTTCGGGATAGGTTGCACAAGTTCAAACCAGCACCATGGCCAAGAGCTCACCCGAACAATTACCATGAAATTATTTATAAAAAAAAGGCGCAGAGAGGCAAGCTATGGGAAAGTTGCTAAGCACACATATTTCAGAAGACGATAAAGGAATTTTCATGATTATTTTATAGTTGTTAAACTCGCAAGGGGCTTAGTCAATCATTACTTTTAGAATTAAAATTTATTAGAAAGTTGTAGGCTTGGATGTGCGATGCGCTGGTGGGGCAAAGGATGACGGCTCGAAATGAAAACTGAAATACGAATTCAAATTGCAGTCTGCTTCATTACATTCATTTACGCAATCTACCACTTGTTCGAACATGATTCATGAACGATCGTCCACCAAGCGACTTACTTCCGCCCCTAGCAAAAAGCATTGGTCAAGGCACATCTCCCTCCCCATGAATCTTTGAAGAACCTACGTTCAACAAAGGACCTTCCCAAGCCCAGATATATATATAGATATTTTGGGGTGACCTATCATTTTTGACCAGTATAAAGGAATGTCGAAAATTTACTTTTCCAAAATAAGCCAACTTTCCAAGCGGGAAAGTTCGTTTATTGCCTTGGGCAAACAATAAGCAATAAGCATTTGTTTAATCTCCAGGTATCCCAAGGTCTTTGTCACAGTCCCACCATATATGGACGGCGTCTCTCGTGGTTTTATGATCTACAGAGAACAAATTGTTCGTAATACCTTACAGCTGATTCTAGATGCAGATTTGTTTAACTATTTTGCAGAGATATAGCTGCAAGTGCCACAGTGAATATATGGAGAGAAGGATTTATTGAATAACATATCGTCCTCCCCTCAGCTCTGTGATCGTAAGGTGTTAAAACTAATCTCGGTTTAACGAAAACCTACTTATGAATTCGAATCACTACAGCCAGCAAAGAAAGAACCATAATTCGATGTTTAAGATTTCATCTTTGTTTTGAGTAAAGATTACTTGTATTTCTCTTAGGGATCAGTGTGTAGTGTCTGTTTTCTAACCGATTGTCTATTCTATAATTCAGCTTGTTTGTACGTACGACATTTCTGGATTTTTTTTCAACCTGATATCAGAGTGTGGCATCTGGATGATTCCAGGCTCGTTTGAACTGAACTGAGATCAAACTGCTTTCCGAATGAAAATCTCCATTTCACCTTGTTTCTATGACTGACCGTTACGATTTTATACGAGGATCAAAGTGTAGTATTTGCACAATCCCTGACAATGCTGTGCGGGGATGACAAACAATCATGCTTATGTGACCCCGCCGTCGTTTCGAATTTAAGCTCAGAGTGTAGAACCTGTAGGATCTCGGCTTTTCTGTGCTGATATGAAGCTAGCTTTCTGAACAAGATCATTATATATTAATATTAAGTGGTAAGGAATTGAGAAAAATGGAGACATTGCTTTAAAGAAGAAATGTAAAACATCTAGGGACAAATAGAATGCATATCTATATAAAAAGAGTGAGTATATATATATATATATATATATATATATATATATATATATATATATATATATATATATATATATATATATATATAAAAAGAGAGAGAGAATGAAAGAAGAAGGGATGAAATGATAAAAGGAAAAGAAAACAATGTAAAAAGCAAAAAAAACTTTGGGGAAAAAAGTGGAAACAAACAAACAGCATACGATTGACCGAAATCAACGAAAGAAAGAAAGAAAAAAAAGAAAGAAAGAAAGAAAGAAAGAAAAGAAAAAGAAAGAAAGAAAAGAAAATTAAACTGCCTAAACGGGTGAGAGAATAAAATAGCGGTAATAGTGAACGAATTTTGAGAAGAAAGAAAGAAAGAAAGAAAGAAAGAAAAAGAAAAAAGAAAGAAAGAAAGAAAGAAAGAAAGAAAGAAAGAAAGAAATAAATTAAACTGCCTAAACGGAGTGAGAGAATAAAATGGCGGTAATAGTGAACGAATTTTGAGAAAGAAAGAAAGAAAGAAAGAAAGAAAGAAAGAAAGAAAGAAAGAAAGAAAAACAAAGCTTTAACTGAAACCAATGGGAGGACGATGATTAAAAACTAGAAGAGATTATCTCTTTGGTAGCCTTCTTGAAAATCAGTAAAAATTCAAGTCATGCATAAAAATGGAACTTTCTGTTCACAAATGTCTATGACTGTATACACACACACAAACATATATATATATATATATATATATATATATATATATATATATATATATATATATGTGTGTGTGTGTGTGTGTGTGTATGTGAAAAACAAAATGTGTAGGTGTTAGAACCTAGATTACATCATATAGCATTTTCGAAAAGAAATTTAAAAACAACTTATTCAACATGGTAATTTTAATGTCTAGGCACTTAGACCTTAGATTGCGGCCTTTAGTATACTCGAAATTGAAAATTTAAGTTAATCTGATGAATATTTATGAGCGTTCTTAATATATACTTGCTGCAAAATAAAATCATCATATCTTATTTTTTAATTTCGCACAAGAAGAGTTTCTCGATATTACGAAGTTGTCTGGTGGCCGTGGTTGAAGCCAATTGGGATTTTATTGACTAAATTGACGCTTTAGCATTTCTATATTTTTTTGTGTAATTTTAGTAAATATATGTGTTAAAATGAGGTGTCAATATTATTTTCGTTTTTGCGCTAGTTTAGACGACAATTTATCCATCGTACGTTTTATATATGAGTGTGTGTGTGTGTGTCAGTGTATTTTTTTCACTTTCTCTCTTTTCATCTGTATCTACGTTCATTATCTATGTTTTCTAGTTTATCATGTGATTCTCTTTTTCTCTCTTAATAAATGAAGAAAAAGAGATAAGAAAGTATGCCATATATATATATATATATATATATATATATATATAAAGAACATAAAGTCAACACTTAGAGGCGACAGGCTGTTTCATGCTAGACGCAATCGTCAGCTCAACATTGCGTCTAGCATGAAATAGCCTGTCACATCTAAATGCTAACTCTACGTTCACTTTATATTTACACACTCTGTCTCTGATATTGAGCACTTTATCTCATAAATATACCACATCTTAAGACTATATATATATATATATATATATATATATATATATATGCATGTATGTATTTATGCATATGAGTTAAAGATCAAACGCAGATCAAATATGGATCGAAATCCGACAGGATGATAAAATAAAGAACAAATAGGAAACGTATATTCAATTTAAAAGGTTTCACTGATATCTATCTTATATCTATATAATACGAAGAATACATGCTTAAAAAGGTCCCCCATAAATTAGGATGATGTGACACCTCGATGTGCTGAGTGACCGCACAAAGGGGAAGACTTCAGAACTCCCACTAGACAGACACACATACACAATTACGCATACACATTACCATCCGATGCCTACTTAGACATACAATAATCTTAACAAACCTACATACATATAGTATTATCTAGAGTTTTAATGCACGTGACACATGACTGACCAATTAGAGCTGACACATAGAAAATTGCAAAAACCAGAGTTTATGTATATTTCTCCGTTTTCTTTCAATCTCTAAGATTTAATAAAAATGAAACATGATTAGATTATCGACAAAAATACAAAAACGGATGTGCAATATGATCGGTGCTGACTTGGTACCTCGACTCCAGTCAGTTTATTACAGCCGTGATGCGGCTTCCCTCTGTCTTTTCTAGAAATATTTTCATGACAACTGCCCTGATGAGTTATTTCCACTAGTGCCCCAAACTACATGAATTTAAGCGTGCTACTAGGTTGGCATCTCGGTCCCACCTTTTCATTTTCGAAACAGTTAAATGTAGCCGCCTCTTCTACTCTAACAGCTTCTTCTCTTGCACTTCCCGACAGTGTAACTACCTTCCTCTAACTTGCTTTCCTGATAACTATAGTCTTCAAAAATTTAAATATAATGCCAATCGACATCTTCTGATGTCTTCATCCCCTTTCTTCTTTTTATTCTTTCCTCAATGCCCCCCTCCTTATTCCAAGATTTTTCTATTAGTTTCACTCTCTGTAACTCCTTGCGTAGTAGTGGCAATCGACCTTGCTTGAGGTGAAATGCTTATAATCACATATAATAAAAGTAAAACATCCTAATTTTTTTTTTTCAAAATTCATTCTGCATTTCATTTTTGTACACATACAACTGTCAAGTTAGTATATGTAAATAAGCGTGTATGAAATAATGAAATCAACTTATCTCACTCCAGGTAAATAGCAGGGCAACTAGACCATATGTGACAGCAATAGTCTAAGCATGGGCGAATGGTAGACTTAGAGAAAAGAAAGATTCTGAACGGATAAATTTTCTCGCCCAAAACATTCAACTGGTTTTCTTAGCAGCTGACCTAGCAATGGATTCAATATAGTCTTTCTTATTCATGTCTGTTGAGAACGTTAGCCTGAGTAGTCGAAACAAGCCACTCTCCTGGAGGTTTAACATCAGCCATGCTGATGGAAGGTAGCAAAGGGGTCTTTCAAATGATTAATAAAGAGAAGTTTACTTTTGAAGGCGTTAAAATTAAAAAGCCAGCGTAACTTTTCAGCTTGTGAAGAAGACTTGAATGTCAGATTCTGTCAAAGGCCTTCGTTACATCCCGGGTTTCACCGTTTTTATCTAGAGCATGATACACTTTTTCTCCAATTATCGCCAGTACATAAGCAGTATATATATATATATATATATATATATATATATATATATATATATATATATATATATATATATAACCAGACTAGACGATGTCATATATTAACCAGACTAGACGTTGTCATCTTCCGCTTTGAAATTAGACACCCCAACCTTACTCTGACTTGACTGCTTTGAATGTAACTGAGATATTGATACAAATTATTAACCCTTACGACCCCATTTTTTCTTTTTTTTTTAATAATTGCCCTAGCCGTTACCATAGTAATTTTAATAATGAATATGCTTATAAAACGCGTAAATTTCAAGAATTAGTTATTCAAAAAAAAAAAATTTCGCTTGAAGATGGAACAGAGCTTAGTACTTTAATTCAATTCAATTCAAATAATTATATTGAAGTTTTCGGCTCTTGTTTTGAAACATGAGAACTCTTATGTAGTGTTGGAATCATATTTTTAAATAAATAATTATATTTAGGCTACTTTGGTATCGAGCACTGTTTTTTTAAAATAATAACAAAAATACTGAAGAACTTTGGATTGTATACCTAACGAGTTCTTTCCTATTTTCTATATTTTTTCGCACACACACACACACACACACACACACACACACATATATATATATATATATATATATATATATATATTAGACATAAGGATCCGCACTGCATAGCTTCTGTCAGCGGCACATTTGTGATTTTCAGAATAAGTCTTGGCCTGACGATCACGTTGAAGCTTGAAACTGACAGTTATTATGCAGCATTTATTCCTATGTCCACATTGTTTATAACTATAAACGCTCTATCTTGTAACTGGAACTCTCTTGCATATATATATATATATATATATATATATATATATATATATATATATATATATCAAATGTTAAACAAAATATACATGTCTTATAGTATCTTGACTTTATAAGTACCGACATAAAAGAAGCTTTTTCTACGATGAACGAACATATAGGAAGATGAATTTTGAAAATTCGCGTCCGATTACCTCAAATATGACAAAACATTAAAATTATTTTCGAAGAACCTCTTAGTCAGACTTAGAATTTTTCTTTAGAGCACATATTCATATATATATATATATGTGTGTGTGTTTGTGTGCGCGCGCGTGGGTGAGGGATGAGTGTTCACCTGTCCATAAATCGATAACAACAAGTACGACAAGTCTATGTTTTACTAAATAAGTACAATTATATATATATATATATATATATATATATATATATATATATATATATATATTGACGTGTATGTATGTGAATATGTCTATTTGTGTATGAGTATATATTTATTTACTCTAACATTGTATGTCCTGTTCTGCATTTAACAACGTTTAGCTACATACAGACACCGCCCTATATATATATATATATATATATATATATATATATATATATATATATATATATATGTGTGTGTGTGTGTGTGTGTGTGTGTGTGTGTGTGTGTGGTGTTCTCTAACATGTCAAGAAATGACTTCTAATAAATGTACTGTTCATTAATGGAATACTTTTTCCCTTTCAGCAAAAACACGAATAGACGTTTCGCCTTAAGCCCTCTGCGTCTACCCAGATCTTTCTGATATATGTCGGTTTAAATTTTTTAATATACGTTTTTCCATTTATTTCTAGATATTTTTCATCTGCGTTACTACTTCTATTCGTTTTGTTTTGTTTTGTTTTGTTTTTTTTCTTAGCTCCTAAAACTTATCAACTGGTTAAGATAGCAGACGTCCTGATAAATACACACCGCAGGAACTTCCGAATATCCAGACATTTTTGCAATCTATTTTCTTCAAATTTATTGTCCTTTTCCGATTCATCGTCTCTTTGAAACTGTATCGTTTAAAAGCAGAATTTTAAAATAAGCGTTGTTTTGTATCCGTCTTAGTTATTTAAAAAAAAAAGTTACTCCAAAATTCGCTTGAGGATGAAATGGAACTAATGTCTTTAATTTAATTACAAAATTAAATTCGAAGCTTTTAGCTTCCATTTTTGAAACATGGTTAGAATTGTGTAGCGAAAAAAAACCTATTTTAAATCAATTAATATATAATATTAATGCTTAATGCAAATTTAAATTGAGCACTATTTTGTAAAAATAAAAAAATATCTACAAGAACACCGGATTATATATATCTTACTGTTCTTTGTTTATATATATATATATATATATATATATATGTATATAATTTTCAAGGTCGAATCCTCACTGGTCATTCAAGTGACGATCAAAATGTCATCTTTGTTGTGGTCACCCCGTGCTATTGTACTTGGAAAAGGCATCAGTACATTGCTTCCAATTTTTCCCTACGATAAGGCTTAAATAGCAAAGTAGACCGCGTTCTAAAACCTTGTGTGGCAGCCAGTCTTGGAGAAGGATAGCAAAGTATAGAAACCGCAGAGAAAACAACAGGAAACCGATCCATTATTTCCCCCCAAAATCAAATAAATTCACAGACATTAAATAAAATAAATATGTCTATAAAAACGATCATTTCTGTCCTAAATGTAGACTCCAGCAATCTGTCATTTAGAAACTATAATACAATTTATAAGCAATTATACACAGACTAGACACATTATTATTATATTGTACATTATTATCTTTTCGATAATCAGTTTCTTGGTGTTGAAATGAAATTTATCGAGGAAGGCGCCGTAATATCTTTTGTCTTACCGAAGTACTTTCTGTCTCTAAAAAGAGTAAATAACAAAGACAAAGCTATAGCAGCCATGATAAAATCTGTATTTCATTGTGATGGTGATTTAAAAAAAAACACTCGAGAACGGGCTCTGTTATAATTGTTTCAAGATTTTAAATTCATCCGTTGTATGCATGGAGTTTGTTGATAAACAAACATCCCAATATAATGGAGCTGACCGGAAATCGGTCGCATGCAAAATGGCAGTAAATGTTTGTGATTTGCTGCTATACTCATGATAAATTTTCTCTCTTTCTTCCTCTCTCTCTCTCCCTCTCTTTCTCTCTCTTCCTAAGAAAACGGTGCATTCGTCAAACGCCAGGATTAATCCAGTAACCAAAAAAAAAAAAAAAAAAAACAGCTCTTACTACTTCTTTCTATGTGTTGTGTCCTTTCAGAACTTAGGCAATCATGGATCTCCACATCCTTCTATCCCTTGAAGCTCCCAGCAAGTTCCTTCCTTCTGTTACTTCCCCCAGACCACGTTCTGTCATCCACTTGCTTAAGGCCGCTAGGTATGACATGCGTTGTTTTTCCTTGTCTCACTTTCCCTCTGTTCGACCCGTGAGTATCAGATTCTCTAGACCCTCCTTCCTCATTACGTGTCCCAGAAACTTCAGCTGCCTCTTCCTGATGTTAAGCATATGCCTTCTTCTTGTTTGCATCCTCTCCAAGACCTCGTCGTTTCTCACACGCTCGGTCCATGATATCCTTAGCATCTTTCTTTACAAACACATCTCTGTCGCCTCGAGTCTCTTCTTCATCTTTGGGGGAATTGTCCAACATTCGCTGCCGTAAAGAAGGACAGATATCACGTAACAACTCAGTATTCTTTACTTCGTTACCAAAGAAATCCTCCTGTCTCGCAATACTCAGCACAGCTTTTGGAATGTGTCTTTGGTCATCCCAATAGTCTACGGATCTCAGTGTCGCATTTACTGTCTTCTGTCAGAATGCTTCCCAGATATTTAAACTTCATGTCTGCTTGATTCTAGTCTTCCCGACCGGCGAATTGCATTTCGGGCTTATCCTCTTATTGATGACCATAAATGTAGTAAATGGATGATATTATTCCAATAATGAAATGCGTCAATAGAAATAGAAATATTTCAGACAATTAATGTCGGGAAACACAAAAGTATTTTTATTTTTTTTTTTTTTTTTAATATACATTTATCCATTTATTTTTGGATATTTTCCTCTACGTTGCTAATTCAGTTCATTTTTTTTCTTATCTCCTAAAAATTATCAACTTGTTAAGATAAATAAATATTTAAGGACCTCCACTTTGTCGCTGAAAAAACAGCATGGCATAATGAAAAAAGCCACAAATGTCATAAAAACAAAGTTTTATCATCACAGTGTTTATGTTGTTATTAAGAGGAAAGTCAAAATTATTTTTATTATTTTATTAATTTTTTTTAATAATTTCTAGCAAAATCGAAATTTTGTTTAAAAATCCTTTATCATTTATAATATATACGATTATTATTAGCACTTTTTCAGGTGAAAAACGCATTGACTTGAAAATTCTTGCAAGATTTAAATAATTGTCGGATTTAATAAAACTTTCAGAACTTATTAACAAATGAATTAAATTATTTTTGATTTTTTTTTTTTAGAAAACCTTGGTAAAAATATTTTCTTTTTACATATGTTATCCACATTTAACTTAATTTCATGAAACTTCAAGAAATTAAATTAGATAAAATCAGAACTCCTTGGAGAATGTAAATCATCCAATATTTTTTTTTTTCAAATTACTACTCATTCCCGAAAATCTGCTCCGAATCGTAAAATAAAAAATGCAATAAAACTATGACATTATTTAATTAGAAAATCTTTTAATTGTTTTTATAAATAAGATTTATCAAGCACACTATTGTAATAAGAAGTAAACATTTTCGGTGAATAATGAATTTTTATTTTCATTTTTGTAAATTGTAATTATAATAATTTATAATATATATAAATCGTTTTAAATCCTGCATTACTTTAATCCGGTGAGGTGATATTGTTATTAAATGAAAACTATATTTACGAATCAAAAATTGAAAAGCTTAAAAGTCATTTTGCATCAAGATTTTAAAAATAATTTTGAATATTTTCATGTGTAAACATTTCCATTTTTGTAAATATGGTACTCCGTCCATGAAATTATAATCAAAAGGTCACGAGTTGTCCCCCCTTACTGCCAAATTTGGACCTCTGTAATTTTCATTATTCATTTTTGTGCTTCATCGTATTTACATCTCAACTGGCTTTGAAAATCATCCCTTCAAAATTTTAAAATTTAAAGTAAGTTTTACATTTTTAATTCCTATTTCATTAAATATTTTATTTTATGCATTCATTTTAATGTGGGCCATACTTCAGTTATGTATTTATTTCGATTCACTTAGTTAAGAAAGAACCTAGAGACGAAACCCAATATAATTCTACTATAAAATAACGTTTAACTTAAATTAAATATTCCTTATTCAATTTCTGTTTGAAGTTGTTATTTTTTTCAATTTGCGGGTCATTTTGAAATTTCTTTTCAAATTATTTTAATTTTAACTTCTATTTTTAAAAAAATAATATTTTTTGTTAGTTGTTTTTACTTTACTTTCTTTTGTGATTTTTATTCTTTTTTATGAGAGTTATTTTGATAAAAAAACGTTTCAAATACAAACTTTTATTTAATTTTTAATCTAATGCTTAATAAATTTAATTATTTTCATATTTTATTTCATTTACATTTGAAATTAGTTTTCTCATTTTAATTAATCTTGAATAGTTTTCCACACCTAATGTTCACAGTTTTCGTATTGAAGAAAATAGAACAATGTATATTTTACGTAGCAAAATTAACTGAACGTTATTTTAAAATAATTTTAAATGTTTTAGAAATTGTTAAATCTTTTGTTAATATGATTAAAGAATAGCTTAATTATTACATTTTTTTTTCAAAATAAATGTGTTAATTTTCTTGATTACTTATCTTTATTTTAATTTCTTTAACTTTTATATGGAGAGAACTGAAGAAATACTGAATCGTTGCAGGGGCATGAAAAATGAACAACCGATTCTCTGTGACCCTTTTTTTGAGAAAATTCTCAAAAAATATAGAACGTTACAGAAGATACTGCGCCAAGGCAAAAGATTTCAAGGAGAAAAAAAGGAAAAGATCCATGATCCATCAAAATCTAAATGATCTGTCAATTACTTCTTTGCATATTGAATATCCAGACTGTGCGCAAGACCT